TATATATATATATATAGTTTATATTTAATAATATACAAATTCTAGCATTACTTTTATATCCTTTTCCCTTATAAAAAAAGCTTCATAAATATTAAGTTCCACTTGCAGGAATTCTTTACATGCGTTTCTACCTTTCTCTTTTTCCAAATCGGGAGTTGTAGAGAGAGAGATCTATTTTCGAGGGCCTTAGACCCGATTTCGTCCATCGGTCAAGTTGGGGAAATTATCCGACTCTAAGTAGGCTACTGTTAACCAACTTTAAATTTTAATTTTGTTATTTTTTCGTAAAGTTTTCATATTTTATTTGCAGAAATTTCCTAAAAACTAAAATTTACGGTGATTTACAAACTTTTGACCCCACAACTTTTTGTATGTTGTAGATTAGACTGTACTTAACATATCGAATATTGTGTGTTGTGAAATATTTGTATTTTTGGAAACATATGTTAAACCTAATAAATTTGCTATGGAAGAAGAAACGCTTGAAATATTTTTCTAAATATTTCATATAAATGGTTTTGTAAATTTTGTTTGTTCATATGTGTAGATTTTTTTTTTTGCAAATAATTACTTGTACCTACTGGTATGTATCACTATCTATAGCATATTGTGAAATATGATATGTCAAAATTATTATCATTTATATGCTTTTGTATCAAAATATGTGCTAAAAATCATAAAAAATTGGGGGATTTGTAGGTGGTTGTGATTGGATGTATGTATATTATGTATAATCAAGTGGAGTTATAGGAGATTTTGCATCTATGTAATTATTCATTTGTGCGTTTAATACGTCTGAACAAATGTGAACAAGTAGAGGTACAATTGAAAGTGAAGTTATAAGTGGCATAAGGGAAACATGAATAAGTAGAGGTATAAGTGAAAGTGGAGATATAAGGAGGCCCAAGAAAAATATTAAAGTAATTTAAATAAAGAATTGAATTTGATTTTCATGTTATTTTCCCGCACTTATGATATTATATTGCTTATACTGTTATTTAACACATGCCTATTGCAGTTACAATTTTTTGTACTGACACTCTGATAGGCACTACATGATATTTTGGTATGTCGGATTTATTTACATCGAATACATGTTTATTTTTTTATTATTGAAAAATGTAGTAGATTTTGAGCAGTCTATTGAGCTGTGCTTGTTCGCCCTATTTTACGCACATGTGTTACTTCAGGGAAGGGTAAGATTTAAGTTGAGTAGAGATTTTTGCATTACTTGTGAGAGTCTGATTTTAGGCATGTTGGTATATTAAATCTTTATTTTTGACAGCCATGGTGATGTTTAGTTTTTTTTTTCATGATAAATATCAAACTATGATTGTTGTATATATTTCTTTTTTGGTATAATACTATGATCTGAATGAGTTTTCTTGTATATTTATTTTATAAAATTTTATGATATGAGTGTCTGTGTAAAATTTGAAGAAAATTAGATAAATAAGATTCCTTCCAAATAAATTTTGGGTAATAATTTATCTTTTATGACCTCGACACGAGATGACCCGCCTCGATATGACGGGTTACATCGAGTTGGATTGTGCCGTGAGCAATACCCCGAGGTTTGAATGTCGATCATGAACCAACTTGACCCAATCAACATCTGCATAAACAACAATAGACCGAGAGGTGTGACGAGAGAAAAGCGAACTTGAGCTCAGTTATCTTTTAAATAGTGGAGAATCTAGTGGATAGCTTGGAGATGGTGCTCATAGAAGTTATGCATAAATTGACTCACTATACCAACTGTGTGACATATGTCGGGGCGAGTATGGGCGAGGTAGATGAGTTTCCCCGCTAGTAGTGAGTCTTGTTGACAGACACAATATTGGGAATGTCAACTAATTTCTCTTTGGGATCTACAGGGACAACCCCAGGTTTGCATAGAATAAGATTTTTCTTTGTCAAGAGATCAACAACATATTTGCGCTGAGATAGGCAAATGCCCCGATGTTATTGAGTCACTTCCATGCCTAAGAAGTGCCAGAGAGTTCTTAAGTCCTTTATTTCAAAGGACTTAGCCAAAATTAATTTCAAGGACTCTAATGCTGGGAGATCATTTCCTATAAGAACAATATCATCAATATAAACAAGAATGCTAGCTACATGACCATTGGAGGAATGCCAGAAGAAGAGAGCCTGAGCTGATTGAGCATGAGTAAAATCATTGTGCATAACCACATTTATGAACTTGCCGAACCAAGCCCTTGGGGACTGTTTTAGCTCATAGAGGGATTTTCGCAGCCTGCAAACTTGCCCTTTGAAGATAGTAGATTCAAAGCCAAGAGGGAGAGACATGTATGCCTCTTCTGTAAGCTCTCTATTCAAGAACACTTTCTTGACATCTAGCTGGAATAAAGATTAATCCAGATTCACTACAAGGGACAACAAGATCCGAATAGTGTTTAACTTGACCACTGGAGCAAATGTATCTTCATAGTCAAATTCGTAGGTCTTTGACTATCCTTTGGCAGCCATTCGCGCCTTGTTGCGTTCAAAGGATCTATGTATGGTTCGGTTGAACAACATTCATCTCCTTGTTGACCTCATTTTGAGGTCATTACTCATTTTCTTAGAATCCTATGACCTAGCTCTAAGAGTTCCTATTGACCATCTTAGAAAACTAGAATTGAGACCCATCTTTTTTTTTAAAATTCCAGCAATTTCCTATTTCTCTTGTATTGTCTCGTATTGATGATCTCAAAATCATTGTCTTATGATCGAGTGGTAAAGGACTATCATGTGGAGACTCAGGGAGAAGTTCCTAATAGGATCTCTAGCCCTAAGAAAACCACTTCAGGACTTTATCATCACACATGTACATCAAATGCACAAAATTTACTAAATTGCACAAGATCAGACTTAAATTGAGCCTAAATGATGGGTGAAAATGCGAACTTCTCTGAACAACATCCGACGACAAAATGGACTGTGTCAACTCTTCCAGGACACTAATTTTAGTAGAAAAGATACTCATATTGCTATATTTCCGACATGAGCAAAATTGCATGCAAATCGATGAATTCGTCAAAACGACATCCGACGGTGAAACGGACTGCGCCAGCGCGTCCGGAACGTCAAAATTACCTAAAAAGGACATTCAATTTTCTGCAATCTGACGCACAAATAAAATGCACAAATTAAATTTTATTTTTAAAATATTAAATACTTTTATATTTATATCATTATTTATAATCTTAATTATAATCCTACACCCTATTTTCTCTATTCCCACACACTTAATCTTTCGTTTGACCCCGTGATTTAGTCGAATGCTCGACTCGTCTCCCTCGTGTGCCCTAGCTTCCGTGGACGATCCACGCGGCAATCTCTTCCCCCTCTCTCGACTCTTCTCCTTTCTCA